ATAGGTGATCGTAGGCGCCAGGCGTTCTATTATTTTTTAAAAGAACCAAAGACATCGACGAGTCAAGTCTGGCGTTTTTTTTTTTTTTTTTTCCCCTCTCTCTTTTTCGATCGACGAACGATTTAAAGCTTGGTTGAGGCTGTGAGGCGACCGGTCTTAACCAAGGACCAGACGGAATCGAACTTGGGTCTTGTTTTTTTTTGTTTTTTTTTTTTTCAACAACAACTGACAATCTTATTACCAATCAAACCATGTAGAAGGCTGGGGACCTCACAATTCAACCCAGAGTTATCCCGGTAGCATCAGCCGGTTTAGCTTAAACCACCAGTACCTCGCTCAGCTATCGGTCGCGGGCCCTCCCGTATACGCGCCGCAGCCTTAGGGGGGTCGGCCAAGGGAAGACCCTGTCGAAGCAAGAAAGTCGGGTCCCGGTTCTGTAGGGACGACACAGTAGACAGAAAAAAGAAAAAAAGAAGAAGGAAAAAAAGAATAAAATACACAAACGAAAAAAAAAAGTAATACACAGAAGGAAAGTCGTGGCGGCGACGAGTTGGGCGCGACCCTCCGTGCATGTCGCCCCTCCTCTTTCTCTCTCTCTCTCTCTGAACCCGTTCGTTTTTCTTATTTCTTTTTTTTATTTGCGTTTTTTTTTTTCCGTTTCGTTTTTTTTTTCCCGTTTTTTTTTCCGCACCTTTCAGGCCGACGTTCGCGATGCCTACGCCCGGTAGTCTGAGCCTCGGCACGGGTCGGCGTACCGGTCGGCCGAGGCTCGGACTCGATAGCTGGGCCAGGTACTGGTGGTTTAACGGAAAGAATCTAAGCAACTAAGTCAAATACTCTTTCTGTACCATTCCCAAAACTTAACTTTCACTCTGACATAACCTTATAAAAACACAATTCTAAGGATTTGGGATTACCAACTATCCATCCGACAATCCATCCGACAATCTTCCTACATAAGCAATGTACCATCCCCCTAAAAACACAGTTCTAAGCAATGTAGTCCTAACTATCCATCCGACAATCTTCCTACATACTAGTAGACTACCCGGGGCAGTTTTTTAGCTTTTTCAAGTCCAGTCCAGGGTCGCTTTTTTTTTTTTTTTTAAAGCTTTTTAATTCCAGTCCGGGGTCGTAGAACGAAGCCCCTACCTACTGAATCCCACTCCCACTTTTGTGCCTTTGCCTGGAGCCCCTCTCCAGGATATGTGGTAAACAGACTACCGGTAGGCCAACCGCCATCCATGGCCCAGTGGGCGTAGTCCCACTGTGCCATCGCGAAGTGCCAGGTTGATCCCACCGTCCCACCGCTCAATACGAGATTATTTACACTGTGCAGTGCTAAGTGTCAGGTTGGTCCCACGTCTCCCTCACCAAGTTTGTTCCACGGCTTGCCGCTATGGGCCTGTGTCTGCAACTCGTCCAGTCGCCTAAGGTGCCCAAGCCCCCCCAAGTCCTGGGCCTCAAGCTTTCTCTAGCCTCAAGCCAGCCCGAGCCCTGGGCATCGGTATCATCATGGTGCCACCTAGCTGCGAGGCCAAGGACCCACTGGCAGTCCCAGTGTGCAGCCAAAGGGGACTGTGACGAACCACTTTCTGTAACGCGCGAGTTTCTGCGCGGTTGCAATGAGGGGTCCTAAGCTGGGAAGATTGGGCCACTTAGGGGAAATCGGGATCGGTGGAAAATTGCATCAGTACCCTTGCTTCTTCGTCTTTTTCATCGCTTCTTCGGGGCTGGGTGTGTCCGGGGACGGCCGGTTGGGCGATTGGTCGGATGGATGTCTGGGGTGCCACCACGCGCGCGATTAATAAATGTTGACGTCATTTCTTTCGTTTCGAGTTCGATCTTTTGGGCGCGGACATCGCGCGGAAAATTGTTTCGTTCTTTTTGAATTTCCTTTTGAATCTTTTTCGAATTTTGTCGAGCCCCGATGGCTCTCGGGATTTTGGACTTTCTTTCTGGAATTTATGCTTTTTACTTTTCTGCACTAGATAGGAATTTAGGAATTCAGTAATTAGGACTTTCTCTGCCGCACTGCGCCTTTTGTCTACTCGCTTTTTCATGCGGCTGCAACGGTACTCTGATTAGTGGGCGCCCTTAATCGTGTGTGTGACTGCAATTTTGGGCGGGCGCCATTGTAACTGTATCTTTCCCCTTCCTCTTCGTCTCTCCCGCCCTCCCTCTCTTTCTTTTGCTGAAGTTTTGTAAGTCGCGGCTTGCATGCTCGGATCGATGTGTGGAGAAGGGTTACGTACCCCACGCCGCGACCGATCATGTAGAACGCAAGCGTTCCCTTTCTAATCCTCACTCGAAGTCCTGGTAATTCCGCGTTCTTCACGCATGCATGCACGCTATAAATTTCGGCTGCGCGATTAGTGAGTTCTCTTGACCTGTTGTTGGAAGCTCGGGGTTGCGCGATCAGGAAGGATCGGCACACGAGCAAAGTAAGAGGTGAGTAGAGTAGGAGTTGGGCGGCCCGACGGGCTGGTGCCGAACGCGCGGGATTGACGTGGGCCATGACGAACTGTGGGCACGGGCGAATCCGACGGGTGCGGGAGGACTAAGCGGGGTGACAACTTCGTGGGTGGGTGCGTGACGACGGACTGTCTGCATCGGAGAGAGAGAGAGAAGGAGAGAGAGTTGAGGTTGATGGACGTGCGTTTGCTGTTTCTTTGTCTCTTCCCCCTCTTCGTCTGTGTACATACATTTTGATTACGGCTCCGGGCGGTTTGCCCGTTCTTATTTTCATTTTCGGCTTTCGGGAACCGAGATTTGGGTTTTTGCTCACACTTGTCCCTGCTTTGTCCATCTCGATTGCGCGATGTGTATGATTGCTGAATGTATGGATGTAGGGATGTTATGCTTGCGCATCTACATCACTGCTGAGAATCCCGGTCCTTACCTTTGTTTGCGTCGAACCCTTGCTCACACCTGATGCAGTTGTAAATGGGATAAGGATCTGGCATCGATAACAATTTTGTCCTCATTCTTGTTTATCTC